AGCTGCAAGAGAACGTCTGACAGAGGGAAGGACTTTCTGATAGCTGATATAAGAGGATGGCTATAGGTTATAACAACATAGCATGTTTGTGTGTTGAAAAACTAAAATAGATGACTTCAAATGTTTTGCCATGAAGAGGTGATAGTAGTTTGAGGAAATTGATGTACTTAATTTAATTTAAACATAATTTATGTATTGCTCATCCCATGGTACACTTGTGATGGTTTGGCTAAGAAGTGTCCCATGGGCTTACATATTTAAACACTTGGTCTCTACTTGGGGGCCATGTTTTGGGAGGTTACAGAACTTACAGGAGGTAGAGTCTTACTGGGGAAAGTACCTCAGTAGGTGAGCTCCAAGGACTTTATAGACTTCCCACTACCCTCCCTAATTCCCCGTCTCTGGTGGATAGATGAAATGTGATCAGCTAACTTCTAGCTCCTGCAATCTGCCATGCCTTCTACACAATGGTGGATGTCATGCTTCAGGAACCAGAAGCTAAAGAGAACCCTTTCTCCTTCACTGCTTCTGGTCATGGTATTTTATCACATCAAGAGAAAATAATCAATACAATGTATCATTGATATGCATAATTGCCATGCATCAATTAAAGATAAAATGTAAGCATGATGGTGCATGCTCGTGATTTCAGCACCTACAAGTTTAAGTCTAAGAGATTTTAAGTTTCAGGCCAGTGTGTGCTGCGTAGGGAAGCTCTGTTACCAGAAGCCACTACCAATGATAACTAAAACAAATTGCTTAATTTATCTTAATAAAAATAGATATTAAGTAATGTTAGAATAAAAGAGGAAAATAGCATTGCTTTGCTGTAAAATTTGTTTGTCGATTAATACATTAACAAGAACCCTTCTGCAGCAGTTGAAACAGCAAGTAAAATTGGAGGTGGATGATATAGTATTTGTGTTTTTATCAAAAGCACACAGAAAATGTGATACTTTCCAAGAAAAACAAAACAAACACATTAAAACCTGTACTGTTGGTACATTGAAAGAGAACCTCACACAAACACTAAGTGGTCATTTCTCTGAAAACTGGCTTTCACAGTACAGGGCTGACATTTTTATTGTGTTTGTAGCATGAATTAGAAATGAGATTACTGAGCATAAAAAAGAAATCTTACATTCACAAAGTTGGCTTTTCTGTTCAAACATAGTAAAGATATTTTTTTAGAAAGTGCCAGTAGAATGTATGCTTTATATTTGAAGACACCTCCATCCATAGATAAATATTTAAACTTGTGTAAACCAGTCATAACAACAGCCTTGCTGTTTTTTGTTGTTTGTTTGTTTGCATCTCTTTACATGGGTCTCCCTTCTCAAATATGCCATCCTTTGTACTTATAACTAAGCATGTTTGTGAAGATCTGAACAATAGAAATAGGCTTTTGACAGACCCCAGCCAACATTATCATAGCATTTTTTTACCCTTTTCTGATTGCTAACTTTGTCTATGAAGGTCTAGGAAAGACTCCATAATCCTTTCTTTACAAGACCTTGCCCCATGGTCTTTTTATTTATTTTAAATTTCTTCACAAGAGTATAATATATCCTTATGATTAGATTCTATCATTTTTGTTGAATTCTTGGATGAATTTACTAAAGATGTGTATGAAATAGCATAAAGAACTATTTCCAAATTCTCCTTAATGTTTCATTAAAATACACAGATTTTCATATACTTTCTTGGAGGCAGTGCTAGTTAACAATCACAGACAAAGTACTCAGCTAAAATAATTTTGTGACATTACTTCAAAAGAAACTGTGAACCATTTCTCTTCTGGATACCCAGAGCTCATTCAGCTCATCACCATATTACTGGATCTTGTATGAATTCAAACTACAATTTTTGATGTAAAGCCAAAAATCATGTCCATATGTTCCACAAATTATCCAAATATTCTTCAATTACAGATTTTTGGTAGCTTTTTTTGAATTAATACAGAAAGACAATGATGATAAGGTAACATTTTGACTTAAAATGAAAAGTATTAAATACCAATTTTTATATGCTCAGTGCTGGCACAGATGAACTTCTAAAGAATTGTCCATAAAATCTGATAACATTTCTCCCATTATTCTTGAAGATAGTTTTGTATCTACAATTTCCCTTAACTTTATTGTCAAGTACAGTGAGGACAGTGATTCTTCTTTTCAGTGAAATATTTTTTAGATGTACTTTTAATTTAACCACTTTCTAGTCTTTAAGAATTTCACACATGCATATGATAAAATAGACCTTTCCCCTCCTCCCATCCCCCCTGTGCCACTCAACCCCTTCCCTTCCCAACTTCATGCCTTTTTTATTTTTGTGACCCACTAAATCCAACAAGTCCTGTCTATAAGCAGATGAATATAGGGGCCATCTGTTGTACCTAGAAGGCCGCCAGTGGCTTTTCCTCTCCCAGCAGCTATGACTACCAACAGTTCCATCCACCATAACGGAAGTGATTTCCCACGTACGTGGAAACTTTGGCTGGCTGGATCTCATGTAGGTCTTGTGCAGGCAGCACAGCTGGTCTGAGTTCATGAGTGCAATCACCATGTCATGTCCAGAAGACAAGATGATCTTTCACAAATAACCTCTTGGCAGCTACTTCAGATTTTCTTATTAGCCAGACTACTAGGTTTTATTTGGTTTTATCTCCTATAATTGAAATTATTCCTATGAGCTCATAGTTTTGCTACATGCTTCCTGAGACTTCAGGCAGAGAATGGACTCTTGCGAGACATAAACCTAGTGAGTACTTTTCTCATTCTACTCTGACACATTAAGCCAATCCTTCTCTCTTACTGAGAGATCTCCTTTTCAAGGAGACTTTGCATGCTAGCTTCAGTTCATGCTCATCTCTCTTCCTGATGAGTCCTTGCTTGGCTACGTTTGGTTAGGCACTGTAATTATTTTTCTCAAGCTAGTTCAGTTTTGTACATTTCTTCATTTCATAGTGATATAAGTTCAGAGACTCCCCTCCTCTGCTTCTTCCATTTCTTTTTTCATCTTTCTCTACCCACCTCTTTATTTGAATTAATACACAAAGACATAGAATTATGTCATAATCTTAGCACTGAAAGGTGATAAATATTAAGTGAAAAATTAAAAGTGTTCTTTGTGAATACCATATTTTAAAGATACTTTTAGATTTTACTATGAAATCTTACTTTAGAATAAAAAATATCTTTTAGATATTTTAGAATAATAAATATCTTTTTCAGTAAGCATTAACATTCCACTCCCATATCAAACAATATTTTTCAAAATCCATGCTTGATGAGTATGTAGTACAATGTTTTGATAAACATTGTTATTATTTTATTGGATATTTTAAAATACCATACTTTGTGATATTTTGTACTTGGCATAATAGCAATCATCTTTATAGGTATATATTTTGGCATGTACGTACCTGGTTGATTTTGGGGTAGTGATAGTTGTTAACCAAGTGTTATAGCACTGTGAATTTTTAAATTTGTTACCTATAGGGTTTAGAGAGATGGCTCAGTAGATCGGAACACTGCTGATCTTCCAGAGGGCCAAGGTTCAATTCCCAGTATCCACATGGTAGGTCACAACTGTAACTTCACTTCTAGGGAACCTAATACCCTAATACCCTCTTCTGGCCTCTGTGGGCACTGCACATATATAAACATATACTCAGGCAAACACTATTATATAGGAAATAAATAAAATCTCAAAAGAATTTGAAAATTATTACCTAGATACTACTGAGAGCCCCATAAATCTACACAGTGCCAATGTTCAGAATTGTGAAACAGTATAAGTATCTGAATGAAAATTTTCTTACTCAATGGATATTTATCTGCATAGGTCATATTTGTTAACACTATCCTAATGGCTATTGAATTATTTCAGAATAATTTAAGATGTGTTGGTGCCTAGCATATTGTTTATATTAAGAACAATTCTGGTACTTTAACCTTAGGTGCTCTTCTAGCTGTGAATTAGAAAAATAATATTCTTTATATGAAAGAAATAAGCACTTTTCAATAAGATTCTTAACTTCAGAAGGATTTGTTATGAAGCAACTTTATGATCCAACTGAGATTATCTTATAACTAAATCTTTTTTGGCTTGTGTAACTATAATGCAATATTTTTATGCCAAAATATTTTTATGCCAAGATCATTAGATAAGTTTCACCCGCTTTCAAAATTGTGAATCATTTGACACACAGATGAAGGTATGTAACATATATAACATGTATTATGTATCTACATAGTACAATCTAACATTGTCCAGATCACAGAAACTCCATGATACCCTGCCCAAGCATCTTTAATATTCTTTCAGAAAGAATCACAGAACTCATGTCTCCTCACATGCCATCTGTCTGTCATCAGTAGGTACCAGCCTGGCTGTTGGGTGTGTCTGATCTATCTGTCCCTAAAAGGGCTTTGCTCTGTTCCTCTTGGACAGCACAGGAGCCATGATACAGGAAGGATGAAGTATGCTTGCTATAATGATTTTTAACAAGGTTTTATGAGTGAAGGAGTGACTTTACTGATCCCAGCTGGTGTAGCATTCCACTCTCTAAACCACATGCAGACACTATCAAACTGTATCCACACATTGCTCACAACATTTATGGGATATTTATTTTGTTTAATGTTGCTTTCAATCTATTGGCTGCTTTCAGCAAATGATTGCCACAATAAACACACATGTACACACACACACACACACACACACACACACACTGTTCTGAGTCAGGGGCATGAACTTAAGATCAAATCTATGCTATGAATTTATCTTAGGTTATAAAGCTGATTACACGGGAGATCCAAAGCATAGTAAAGTTAGTCACACTGTTCTTTTAAAGTCCGGTTAAATTTAAACAGGCTGAGTACACAGCCGATTGAGGACTGGGTACATAGTCTCAATGACCTCAAAGAATATTAACTTGGCAGCAAGGTCCTGCGAAAGTCCAGACTCTTTCTTTTCAAGAGGTATTTTTCAGGAAATACCTGATCAATATAGTTCCTAGGGTCCATGGCTTCAGCGAATGGTAAACAGTGTAACCTCACGACAGGACAGCGCTCCAGTGCTCCGGTGTGGCTAGGAAAATGTTCTCTGAAACTGTGAAAAATGAATGGACACTCTTTAGTACAGGAAACTGAAAGGTAACGATAGCAAAGCAGGATGCCCTAAGAAAACAGCAAAGAACCTATGCACCGCGGGAAAACTGAAACCTCCCAAGACGAATCAGAGCCTCAAGCTCTATGCTCGTTTCTCGCTCCCCTCAGCTCCATCAAAGTCCAACACAGAAGCAAAAATCAGCAACACAGGAGCAGTGAGCGATTATTATGCTTTCCCACACACCAAATCCATTTTTTTTTTAAATTGACATTACATCTGGTTGAGGTTGAGGTAAGGAGAAAGTAGGCACACAAGAAATCAGCCAGTGGTAAGGGGCATGAGATAGAGTCACAGAAAGCAATCTATCAAGAAACACTTTCCCTTCTAGTGCCTTGTCTTAGCCAAATTCCATTGTAATCGTCCTGGCTTTATACACCCCTCCCATCCAAGTGCAAAAGTATCCTGATGGGATGAAAACTCGGCAGGTGACTGTTGTAAACAAGACGGAAGTGAAAAGACGGACGTTCCTATGAGCGCTAGGAACAGTGAAGTCGATGACTAACTTATAATAGTCACACAACTATAAAAAATTCCTTACGGAGTGCCAAAAAGCATTTTGGATATATAAGACAGAATAAACAATGTTATAAATTAATAAAAGCTGAAGAAACTGATAGAAATTCTCTTAAATCAAGAAAGGAGCCCAAGTCTGCATAAGAACTGTTCAGCAGTCACCAACTCAGGATACAAGTATTTGGTAATTACAGCTCTGTGAATCAATCTCTCTCTCTCTCTCTCTCTCTCTCTCTCTCTCTCTCTCTCTCTCTGTGTGTGTGTGTGTGTGTGTGTGTGTGTGTCTCCTCTCTCTTCTCTCCCTCTCTCTCTCATTCAACCTCAATATCATTCCTCAAGCCCTATAAACCATTTATTGTAATAATTTTTATTGACTATATGAGAATTTTACACCGTGAGTATATTCTGAACATCTCCATTGAACATCTCCATCCCTTCAACTCCTCCTGTCCAAGAGAGACAGAGCAAAGTCCTGTTAGAGACAAACAGATCAGACACACCCAAAAAATCTCTTCATTCCCCATCAAATCCAGTTTGCATTGCCCAGTTAGACTTGAGATCGGGGTCTGCTCTGGAAACGAATCCCAGCACCGACTTTCTCTCCCAGCAGTCACCAAATCCCAATAGCTCCTCAGTTAGTGGTGGGATCTTGTAGTCAGTTGCCACTGCTCAGCCACAGAGGCAGGAGAACCTGATTACTAATCTTCAGTCAGAGCTGAAGTTCACACAGCTGTGATGATGTAAGGTTTTGAGGTTAATATTTAAACCACTTACTGAAGCAGGGCACAATTCCAGGCGCTCCACCCACTGATAAGACTGAGGCAAGCTTGTACGGTTTTCTTTCACTCCTGGATATGTGTCTGTAACATTTCAGTTTTTGACTCCCTGACTCTCTCTTCCTCCTGTATCCCGGCCGGTGATGTGCTTTTGGCACAGAAGAGACTAACACCACAGTTTCAGAGAGTGGCTTCACTCACAGAGATGAAAGAAAAATTGATAGACATAGGGAAAAAAGCATGAGAAACTGCAATAATTGGGGAAAATATGCGAGACTCAAAAAAAGGTTTTGTTCTTTAGCCTTTATATGTTAGCAAAATCAAAATGTTGTGTTAAATATAATTTTATTAAGTACAATCTGATGTCAGAAATTAACTGGTTTGATAAAATGGATTTTGTAGAGCTTTAAATCTAGAACGTAGGTGGCAAATATGAGAGGATTGCCACAAGTTTGGAGGTAGTTGGAGGAGACAATTTCAAAAAATAAAAATGAATTTAAAAATGGTTTACAGAAAGATAATATGTTACGAGTATGGTTCATAGTTTCCTCGGACCACACTCTAATCTAAGAGCTTTCTCAGACCAAACTCTTAGATTTAAAAGAAATCTGTTTAGGGATTATAGTTATGTACAATAAACAAAAGTTCATATCTATTTCTTTTTAAAATGTTATTTATACTGGAGTAAACAAAAGAGAAAACCTCAAAAATGACAATGAGCTATTTGAGTTGTTCCTAGAATGTTTAAGCCCAATTGTCCTAATTTAGCATAGTGATATATTTGGTGTGTGTGTGTGTGTGTGTGTGTTTCTGACTCAACTCATGCCAAAATGTGTTATGTTAATAGAAAATGTTTATTGAGCACTTGGAATATGCTAGACATTTGTTTAGAATATCTATATATATTCTCATCCTGTGTCTTGACAGTAAGGTATGGGTAACACTTGCTGAGTTTTGGAATTGATAGAATGCAATCGAGAGAATTTACTTGTCTTACTAATACCTAAGACTTAGTAGTAGGTATACATGTGTATGGACTTCAAGACACTTTTCTCTATGTTGTTTTTCATATTGTGTGAATATTTTTTAATGTTTAAGAATGTCATACAATTTATATACAATGTGATCTTGATCAAATCCTCCCCTTAATCCCTTCCGTCTAATTCCTTTAACATCCCATCTACTTCTCTCTCTAAACCAAAGGCAAACATTTTTTTAATCTATTGAGTTGAATTTGTTCCACCAAGACATGTGTGGGTATAGAGCCATCCACTAGCACAGGGGCAGCCTGCCAGGGCTACCTTCCCTTAGGAAAATTTACATCCCTTTTCCAGCAACCAACAATTGGCTTTAAATCTCAGTTTTGGGTGGGACTGCCTGAGCCCTACCCACTACTCATGCTGAGTTTTTCATTATGAAGAACACAGAACTTTGAGAGTGATGATTCTTTAAACCTACTTGCTACAGGAAATAACTTCTTGTGCAAGAATCCTCTCTGAAAATAGAATAGTTGGCCTATCAATGAACAAACCTGTACAGCCCTGTTGCTCCCACACTATGAGCCAATGTGCCTGGTCTATTGCTGCATACTCACAAAGGTGGGGTGGGAGGAAGCATGCTCATATCTGGTATCTGTCAGACTGTTTGAAATACTAGCTCAGGGCTTTTTCTGTTCCTGATAATGTTAAAACTCATTAAAGGACATTATTACCTTTGGAAAGCTGGTTGAGCTTCCAAGGTTGAGATGATAAGAGGCAACTTCAGATACTCAGCGGAGTAGGATAGGACAGGAGACAGGGTTCTATCTGATACAGAAGTCTGTGAAGTAGTATAATGCCCAGTTAGTACACCCACATTGCTGATAACTCTTGGTGATCCTGCAGCAATGAAATTTTAAGATTTCTGCTTCAAATTGTTTGTATTATTTTCTTCAAATGGACACTGAGTTTTGAAGCTAATTATGAAAGTGTTTGAACACAAGTCCCTTCAAAATGAGCTGTTGGGGCTGGGGAGATAGCTCTGTAGTTTAGAATAGTGGTTGCTCTTGCAGAGGACCTGATGGGTTTGATTCCTAGCACTCACAGTGTCTCACAGTCACCTGTAACTCCAGTTCCAGAGGATCTGATGCCCTCTTCTGACCTCCATGGTGACTAGGCACACACATGACAAACAAACATACATAAAGTCAAAATATTCATACAAATATATATATATATATATATATATATATATATAAAATGAGCTGCAAACACCTTGGATTTTACTGAGACACCACTAAGTATGGGGAGAACAGCAATGGCTATAACCAGGAGAAGAACCTTTGACCAACCAAGCATGGTGGTGCATAGCAAAGTTTCAGCATGCAGGAGTGTGTCACCATCCTGGACTACATAGTGTGTTCAAGGCTATCTGCACTACAGAGAGAGTTCCAGGCCAGCCTGAGCACATAGTGAATTTGACACTGCCTCAACCCCGTACATACACCCAAGCTGAGACCTGCTGACCCTGTAACTGTAATTTTTTTCAATGCTTACTTTTGATGATGGTTCTTAAATGCCTTAACTTCCATTCTAACCCACTACCCATGAGAGGTAGTGGGGAAAAATGGTTCTTTGGAGCAAATCTCACCTGCAATTGTCAGGAAATCATCAGTCCAGTTCTCAAGTCAGCAGCTCAATCCACTTCATGGATATACTTGCAGTCCAGTTCAGTAGTGTCGGGACAGCAGAAGAGGTGGCAGGACCTAGCAGGAATAGCCAGGCCTCTGCTAAATTGGCATGAGTCAAAAGGAGGGACGAGGACCAACAGAAACACTAGGAAAAAGTTCTTAGCTATGCAAGATCTCTGAAAAGTGAAGATCAGCAAAGACTCAAGACCAACAAGCATTGCACAGCTAGCTCTACAGGCAAGCCCAGCCAAGCCTCTGTCTGTTTAGTCCTATTTATATACCCTCCAAACACCACATGTCCTCCACAGCTCTTGCTTTACCACATGTTTTGCCTCAGCATGTGAGTCTTAGCAAAATTCCATGTGAGTCTGTCTGATCTGACATCACTCTGCCAATCGGTACAAGTCTGAGGAAGTGGCAAGAAGCTGCAGCACACCACCAGAAGTATTTTGGAGTCCGGAAAAATGGAGCTCAACTATGAAATGTAAGGCGGGCTGATACGTGCAAGTTGGTAGGGAAGAATCCTTCATCATGTGCTTGCTTTAGCAGAACATCCTTTCACTTGTATCTGCTTCAATGAACCACTCCTTCATGTGTTTGCCCCAGCAAAACATCATCCAACACAACTGACTTTCCAAAGAACCCTTAAGCTTCCACTTCATGACTGAATGTAGATTTGTTTGTTTGTTTTGATTTTTGTTGTTTTTTTCATATAGAGGTTGGTGCCTTTGAACATATTCAGGACTTATAAACACAAGAGAAACCTGGAACATATCAAAGACAAATCAGACAGTCATTTTAACCTTATGAGACTATGGTTGCACTTGAAATTATGAATCATACCTACCTTCTGGGTCACCAGCAAGCCTGACAGTCATAAAGCCTGTCCTAACCCCTTTGTGCTCCATCTATGGTTCCACAGTTCTAAGTACAACCCCAAACACCTGCAGCCATCCCCAACCACCAAGTGAGACCTCTACATCCAAGCTCCTGCCTCCCTGCCTGCCTGCCTGCCTGCCTGCCTGCCAAGCTGGGCAAACCCAACAAGAACAAGCTCTTCCCTGACCCCTCTGCACTCCATTTCCAGGGCCACAACTCCACCTACATCCCTGGGGCCTGTCTGCTGCCTTAGGGACCAACAGCTATACCTGCATCCTTGGAGGCCTGCCATCACCAGGAACAATCATCTTTAGCTGCAACACTGAAGGCCTGCTGGTGCTGGAGACTACCAGCTCTACCTGAAGCCACACAGGCCTACTCCTATCAGGGAATATCAGGCCTGCCAACACTAGGAACAACCAGATGACTAAAGAAACTATAGGAAAACAATCAACAAAAGGCAGGGCAATATGGCACCACTAGAACCCAGCTATCCCATTGCCACAAGCCCTGTATATTCTAGAAATATTCTAGAATTTCAAGAAAATGGCCTTAAATCTAATTTTATTAACTTTAAAGAGGAAATAAACTATTACTGATGCTATGGTGTGCTTACAGATAGGAACCTACATAGCTCCCTTCTGAAAACAAGCAGCTGAAAAAGTCAGATGCAGGTACTTACACCCAACCAATGGACAGAAGCTGAGGACCACTGTGGTTGAAGTAGGGAAAAGCTGGAAGAAGCTGAGGAAGAGGGCAATCCCATGGAAAGACCATCAGTCTCAACTAACCTGGACCCCTGTGATCTCTCAAATACTCAGCCACCAACCAAGCAACATACACTAGCTGATACGAGGCCCCCAACACATATACAAAAGAGAACTACCTGACCTAGCCTCAGTGAGAGATGATGCACCTAACCTTTGAGAGATTTGAGGCTCCAGGGAGTAGAAAGGTCTGGTGGTGGGGGAAAACATACTCTTGGAGACGGGGGGGAGGAGGAATGGAATTTGGAACAGTCAGGGAGGGAACCAGGAGGGAGCTAATGACTGGACTGTAAAAGAAGACTTAAGAATAATTAATAAATAAATAAATAAATAAATAAATCTGTTAAAGAAATACAGGAAAATACAATCAAACACATCAAAGAAATGAATAAAATTCTTCAAGACCTGAAAATGAAAACGGAAGCAATAAAGAAAACACAATCTGAGGCAATCCTCGGGCTTCAAATACCTAGGAAAGAGAACAGGAACCACAGACACAAGCATCACCAACAGAGTACAAGAGATAGAAGAAAAAGTCTCAGGTTTAGAATATACCACACAAAAAATTGGTACAC